CTTATTAAATGATGTACCATAACTCCACAGATAATGCGGGACACAGCTGGACTGAGGATATAATTTCTGTTCTGAACAAAAAAAAAAGTGTCACAGGGTCTTTTAAAAAGCAGTTAGCTAGGAGTGGGTTGGGAGTTTACACTCAAGTGAGACTTCCCTTCCAGCAGCAGCCTGGCCATCTCCCATTACTTGTTCGTGGCACTGAACCAACTACTGAGTCAACGAGGGAACAAACTTTCTGCAAAACAGCCACTGAAACAAGAGTCAGCTCCAACAGAACTTGGCTAGAAAGGAAACCTCGGAGCCTTATCACTTGTTTACAGGAGCACAACAGCCTGATCTCCACTGACTTCAGGCTCAAGGATCTCTCCAAGGTAGTATGTCCTACACACTCCTTTTTCACTCCTTCATTCAACCTTTCACTCCAGACTGCCACTTTACTTACCAAACCCTTTTATCTGCTCTCTCTGAATTGGACCCACTGCACCTGAGCCAAACCCTTTTATCTGCTCTCTCTGAATTGGTCCACTGCACCTGAGTGTAAGGATGTCCGACAAGCAGCACTGTTCATGAACTGGGAAAAGTTTATGAGGTTTAGAGAAGCAAAACCTAAAAGTCACTAAATGGGGTGAGGAATCCAGTTCAAGCTTCAGACAGTTTGGCCCTGGCTGTGCCCTGAAGAAGTTTATAGTCACATGAAGGGACACAGAGTGGCACCACCATTACCCTGCTCAGGTTGCTACTACCTGTATTACAAAGGGGTTTTGGTACAGCGTGTCCACATGCCGAAATACTAGTATCTTTCAATAAGCACAACATATTAAGGAAAAACGAAGAACATGGTGACTTAACATTACCCTGGTGGTGACCAGACTTCTCCTCTAAATGCCCCAAATGAAAGCAAACTTCTGGCTCATTGCAGCTAATGACTGGCCTAGATCTACAAGAGCTAAGAAGCAGGAGCCATGGTGTGATCGCAGCCCATGGGAGATGTCTGCACGTGGAAGAACCAGAGGCTCAGTCCTTCTCTCCTCTGCACACATAGGCACAGAAGTCCATCAGGAAGATCCCAGGCCTCTCTCCCTGAAACGTCTGGATAAACCACAAAATAAAAGTCAGGGATAAGTTCTTAAAACAATCATTTGTACTCTAAATCAGAAGCAAATGTCCACTGTTGTCAGGGTTGAGTCAGCAGGTGCTTTTGATAAAACCATCATTTCTGCTCAGAAAAAACATGAGGGCTAGCCAAACACTTAACACAAAAAAATCCTTGCACTCCAGCTCGGCTGGGGAGAGGACTGAATGATGGTGCAGAGAGAGGTGGAAATTTTTGTCCTTTCTAGAAATACAGGACACCAAAGTATAAGCATTAGCTTAATTCTGCACTAAACTGAATCCCCTCTACATCTGCAACTTGCAGCAATGTCTGGTTAAAGACAGAATTCACATATTTTCATAAAACTGAAAAGAAGTTGTGTTTTTGTGTTGCTTGCAATTGTTTGCTGCCCTCATTTCTAACGCAAAATTCAAAAGAAAAAATTATATTTTAAAATGATGTTTTAAAATTTAAAAATTATATTTTAAAAGGCTTTTCTTTTCTTCTGATTTTTTTCCTAATTCTGGCTTCATCCCACTCCTCCATTTTCTCTGCAATGATATGGGACAAAAGTAGAGAAGAGACAGAAGGTGTAACAAAACATTAAACTGAAAACATTGCAAAACTAATATTAAAGCTGCCTTTTTTAATTCTTGAATTTTGCTTTTTTATATAAAGAAAGGTTAAAAAATTGCATTCGTAAAGCTACTCTGTAAAAAAGAAAACTACAATGAAAAATATTCTACCAGCTCCCATTTTCATGAACTTGTTAGTTCACACTGCCTTCTTCTCAACAGTAATATAATTACTCAGCCATTTCACAGGCTTAGTGCATAGTAGAAATTCTCCATCTCACATTTTACTAGAGTAAAGCTCTAGATCCTATCCCTGTTGCTGCAATAAACTTTAAGCGTGGCTTAAAATATCACAAGAGAGACAACAATAAGAATGAGCATGGGTTGTTACAGTTTATTGCTCTGCATTCATACAACGGAATTCTTCTTCCATCTGAAGACTCAAAAAAACAAAAAACAGTTGGGTTATTTATTAAGCCTGCCCAATTGTCACCTCCCGTCAAAGCAAGATCAGTCTTCAGACCCTGCTGTCTTGCTGCATGCTGAATTCAGTTAAGGGAAATAGAAGAGGCAGAGGAAAAAGTAAAAATAGAGATAACCAGTTTCACTTCATATAATGCTTTCTGGAAATGCAGTATGATCTTTAAAAGAAAAAAAAATGAAATTATATTAGCCTGCAGTTTATTAAAAAAATAACCAGACTTCTCAGGTGTTTATTGTTGTCATTTTTTTAAATGCTGAATTGTCAACACTTATTTATTTGTAGTGAAATCTTCTGGCATGATCCACAAAAATAAGCACAGATATCTACAACTCTTCTGTCCTGGACAGAGTCAGAAATGCTCATGCAAGAAGACTTAAGGTAAGTAACAGGAGAATTAAGCTGCTGTGAGTCCTCTGCCGAGAGAAACACTCCAACTACTCCATGACTGAGAGCAACAGAGGCTAACACCTCATGTTCAGAACTACGATCAGTCTCAGTACGTTCAGAATAAAAAATAGCTATTTTAACTGAAGATAGTTTTGCAACCTCTTCGCAACGAGGGGCTTTCATTTCACACTCCTTCCACTGACCACACGTGTCATAAGACATTGTCTAATTCCAAGCACACTGTGACATCAGTTTCTAAACTGAGTATTCCGTTAAATTTGATACCAACCATATAATGAGTAAAAACTTCTGGAAAACTACTTTTGAGGAAGACAAACACTTTGAGGCTGAGAAGCGTAATTAGACCTCACTGCAGGCAGTTTGGGGACTGTTTGATGGATGACTTTTTTTTTCCAATTATTCATCCTTGAGAACTAGCATTTCACAACTGTGTGCAAGCAAAAGTAAGTTCCTCCAGCTTGCAAAGATATGTTCACCAAGTCAGATACTGTACAGCAGGAGCCCAGAGGGTAATGTTATGCCATGGTTGTGAGGTCATTGCCAAACAGTCTATTTCACATGAACACACTGATGAGTGATAATTTTACAAAGAAATTCACAATTGTGCTTCTTTCTCATTAGCCCTCCCACCATTTTTTTGGTTTTCAAGCAGAGAGCAGCAGGTCAGCACACACCAAAAGCTGTCAGCCATCTGAGAGTGTAAGAAACCTGCTTCTTTGTCTTCTGTTACCGGAAAAAAATTTCCCCAATGTAGTCAAGAAATGCAAAATTAAGGAGGAATGTGGCTTAAGGCAGAGGCCACAACTATGGGAAAGTGAATACCTATAAGCTATGGAGTGGTAAGTCTCTTCATAAGGACATTCACTTATATGGGGTCAAAACATATCCAAAATATTCTTCTGACACTTACCCAGGCACTGGTAGTCTGTGAGGACATTATCTGTTTCAGTCCAGTCTAGTGCTGCTCCAAAGCTATCGACACAGAAGGATTTCTTAGTGTCAGGGTCTTGCTGGGAAGGTCTATACTGGCCATCTTCACCACACTGCAGACCCTGCTCATTGCTTTGACAGTATGTGATACCTGTTACAAGTAAAGAGAAAAAACTACTTTGATAATGCTGTCACTGGGTTTCACGGAATGGTTCTGGTTGGAAGGGATCTCTGTATGTCATCTGATCCAACCTGGTTGTCCAGGACCATGTCCAGTTGCCTTTTGAACATCTTGAAGGTTGGAGACTCCACAACTTCCCTGACCAATCTGTGCCACTGCTTAGTCACCCTCACAGTAAAAAAAAAAAAGGTGTTTTCTGATATTCAGAGGGAATCTCCTGCGTTTTGGTTTGTGCCCATTTAATCCGGTCCTGTCTATGACGCAGGAAAATGTTTCAATGCTGTAGGACAAAAGTGTTCTAAGTACAGCAGAGACTTCACTGAAAATTAATCTATTGTTTGCACGGTGTTTCATGCTCTTAAACATGGTAGTCTCACTGCTTTGTTGTTACTGCAGTTCACGTGTCAAACATTTTTAGGATTCTCTGCCATGGATCAAATCTCCATTTATGCTAAGTACTGTGAAGCAAAGAAGTACAGAGAAGGAACTGTATTTTTATACAGGTTTGTTCAGTGTCTGCTGCAACGGGTATGTGAAATGTTATGAACAATGGTACAAGAGTCATCACATCAATTAATTCAGCGAACTCTTCAGACTTTGTAAGGAGACAGCAGGGAAAGAAAGAAAGAAGTAAGCTAAATGTGTACAACATGGCATTTTGGAAAGAGCTGGCACTGAGTCTCAGTACACAGGTAAGGTGGAAACCAGGCAGGGAACAGGTTTAGTTGCAGGCAGTTGTAGTAAAGAAAACTGCAAGTGCAGTAAAGAAAACCTAAGGAGCAAACTTTTAAGCACAGGAGTCTAATACAAGGAACACATATGGAAATTAAGAATGACAACTTTAGGCAAAAGCTAATTGACATCAGAGTGCATTACAACAAACCTGCTTTTTTATCCCACCTACAAGAATAAATAGGTTGAAACAGAACAAAGCAGATCCTATACTCACCAATACTCCGAAGAAACTCATTCTTACTACTCACTTATTTTTATCCATGACCTAATTCTGCAAACAAAACTGAATTTGGTCTTAATAAGTTATTTTCTTTACAGAACTGCATGCAAAAATAAGTCACTTAAACTGAATCCACCAATTTTAGTGAACATGTTGATAGTTGCTTTGTAAGAAGTATTTGTATTTGGAGGGGAAAGAGCTGCACAAAGACAAGACTACTTTAGCACTAATGAAAGTGACAATAAATAAACTACATAAGATGTTTCTCACTGATACTGAACACCCAGATACCATTACTGAGGACAATGAACACATCTTAAGGAACCACAACATCCTGGATGAGACTGACCACTTGGTTCTCATGCATTTTTGGTAAAAACACCAGATAGTTTTGTTCTGTCTTTGTAAAATTCCTTTGAATATATGCAGAAGGGGTCATATCCATCCAAAAAATACCCGGAGGGAAGATCTCGTGGTTTGGGTTTTTTTAAAACTTACAGATGAAAAAAAATTCCATTAGTTATCCTTTATATTCTGGCTTCAAATAAAGGAAAAAATGAGTTCAACTTACAGTGATCAGCACTGATTGCCCCATAGGAGTTGGTAGTTTTGCCCACAGGACACTTGATACAGGAGGAACGTCCTGTCTGATACTGATAGTAGCCAAGAGGGCAGGGAATGCATTCACCATCCTGGAAATGACTGCCCGGAGGACAAACAACTGCAAAGAGATTACCTTATTACTCCTTTGGAATCCAACCAGTTCAGGCATTTGCACACATATGTGTGGGTGTATATATATATATACACACACATATGTCTCTCATGCTGGTAGACTTGTCATAGGCTTCAAACTCTTAATATATATAAGCGGTATAATAAAGGTAAACACTCCTTAAATGTTCATTAAATTCACCAATGACTGGAATATAGATGGTGGTCTTTTTTTCTCAGATCACCCTAAAAATGTTCTTGAATTAGTGCACGTCAAGCTGTTTGGAAATGCCAAGTCCGGACCTGATTTCCATTTGTCAAATCCATTTGTAACAAGATAATGTACTTCGTGCATAAGTTGTGAAAGAAAATAAACGAACACAAGCTACAAACAGAGTAACTTCTAACACTACAGATGGAAACAGGAAGGCTCCTACAAGCAGAAACTCCAAAAACATCATACAGAAACACACCATATGGTAACACTTTCATTCAGAATTCCTGGTAATGACATTTTTGGTAAGCACTTCCAAACTAAACAGCAATGGCTGGATTAAAAGTCACTAGTTGTACACATGACAACCCAAACACAAAACAAAAAGATATTCTTAGTCTGTATATATATCATTTTCAGAACAATCAGGAGTAATATTTCCAGCTGACTTGTTGCACATTACAAAAAAAACTCTTTGTCTTCTGGGAGGTCATGAAATACTGTTTTTCCTTCCAGATCATTCAAATGAACATTAAAGCAGAAGAGTCACAGACACATTTGCAGGACAATACCTTTACTTGTTATTTCACAGCTGCTTTCCAGATGTAGATTTCCTTCAAAACACTATCAAATGTATATTTTGGGACTTTGACAAGGTGCAAAACTTCATTTCATTCTTGCCCTACATCTTGACAGCAGTTTAAGCTTGTATAAGAAAGAAACAGTAATGGAAAATTGGCCATCCCCACTACAACCCATATGATGAATTGCTGTTCTGGCCAACACACCAGAATGTGAATTACTTTAACTTATAGAGGCACCTAAATTATAATAGATTAAAAAGAAAACTAGTATAAAAATGATCATATCTTCCTTCGTCTGCTGCAAATGGTCTAATGGGAAGGTCTAGGATGAGACAAGTGTTAGACTGAAATTTTCCTCCCAAGTACGTATCAAGGCAATTACTCTAGGTATTACACATAACTAAAATCAATTACAGAACCAAAAAATCCTGGATCAGACAGAATTCTCCTTTCTCAAGCACACTATTTAATACACAAGAGTGTCTGAAACATGTTAAAGACATTTTCCAACACATGCAAAAAGGATCATGCTCATCGCAAATGAACAACAGTAGAAATTAAAATTAAATGAGTAACCCATGCCTAAATAGAAGACAAAATGCAAAGGATGAGGGATACTAATTAAGCAATTAAAGTTTAAAAAGGAACAAATTAAGCTTTGCAAAACATTCTGCTGTTTTTGTAGTTTTAGTCACGATGTGAAAGTAACATCTGTGTCTCCTATCACATTTTAAGCAATTAAAATTGCCTTTTGTCTCACACATTAGATTAACAAAAGGGCAAAAAGAACAGCAAAAAATGTTGGGTTGGTGTGGACACGTGTGATTTCTCGAGTCTGTAACTCTTGGAGACACGTATAATTTCAGCTACTGGTTACACTTGACACAATCATAGAGGTTAAGTTTGATTCTAGAAGTCAAACAAACCATCATATTGTATTTCTTTCAAGCTTCAACATTCATACATTTTAACAACATAAGAAAATAGACAACAGCTTTGAGCCAAAATCTCAGAGCTAAGTGTTAGCACTGGGCCTAAACCCTGTATCCCATAAATAGGAAAAATAAAATAAAATATAAAAATAAAACTAAAACCCAAATTTAATCTCTTGCTCCTGCATATGAAATTTGTAACCTGGTCTCACTTCTGACTAGACTTGGCCTTCTGTGTACCAGAGAAATGAAATGCTGAGGAGCAAATTCCAGGCTAAAGAACAACTGAACTGGAGCAACTGCACAGGGATACCACTCCTCACAGTAGCCTCCTTTTACTTAAGACCAACTCTGACTATGCTAAGCGTGCTTAAAAACTGTCAGAACTGATCATTACCCAATGCTTGCACTGCTCTTTCTTCCCTCAAGGGATACTGGAAAACTTTGGGATATCAGATTCTTGATCTAGATTATTAGAAATTAAGTCTTGAGCTGCCAGCTCAGCTATAAATCTAGTACTTTATTTGATTTGGGTTATGCTCTGCTCAAAGCAACTCTGATAGAATTGCCAAGCATTCTAAATAATAAAAGGAACCAGCATAAAAATGTATAATAAAACAAAGATAACTCACAAACAGGCTTCAGGCTTTCTCCTAAAATAAATGGGAGCAGAAGGGTTGAATTCATAAAGCTGCCTCCTGGACAGTTTCCAACCCTCTTCTTTTCGACTCACACCTTAGCAAAGAAAGTATCTTTTGTCCTTTAAAATTTAGCTAAAATAAAACTGTATACCTCAGACTCTTAAGGAATTATAGTCATAAATACCTGTGGAGTAAACTAACTCAGTGTCAGACTGAGACAAAGAAAAAATGTCACATAAGAAAAATTAACACATGATAAATGTTACCCAATTTGCAGGCAGCAAAACATGAAAGAAAAGGAAAACATACGAGATGAAGAGGCAGGTTCATGCAAGCTGCATGTTCCTAAATAAAAATATTAAGTTTATTGAGAACACCAGAAAGCTGCCGCTATTAAGAGCTGTCCATGCTTCCTGAAGCAAGGGGAAATGTCACTTACAGTGAAATAAAAAAACAAAAAACCAAATCAATAAGATCAGACAATTTGTATTTCAACAACAAGGTGGAACAGGAAAAGGAAGAGAATAAAGAAAGAATCCCTGTCACCCTCACACTACTTTGATTTCTGTAATCAGAGGTGATACTTCTTACTACTAGTCCCTATTATTAGTAGAGAAACAGACCCAGATAGGATAAATGACCAGAATACACCCATAATGCAAAAAAACCCCTAAATATCTCTCTCTCTCTCTCTGTATCTCAGACAAACCAGAAACAGAATTCCTAAATCCTTGTTTAGAATAAAATATGCAGTCCTACTACACGAACCATTGTCCAGCAACGTGTATACCATGAAAATTTAGAATACAAAATCTCTGCCAAAAGCTGGAGCAGAAACTGTCTCCTTTCCACAACTCTATGATAAGTCTGTTTTACTGACTAACTTTTTCTACAGCTAGCTGGTTCAAATATGTATGAATTAACTCACAAGATGAATTAATTAACTGCTTCCTACAGGTTTTTATCCCTGGCAGGAAATATTTGGCAGAAAGATCCAATTCTTTGTAAGTTCTTCTGCTCTAAGTGATGGACTGTACTTAACAAATAATGAAACCTTTAGTCAGTACGAATGCACATCTTGTGAAGTAACTGCAAGTTGTTACAGACTGCGGATTCTCAGTAGGAATTAATATTTTTTCTGCGTAGTGTATTTAAATAACCAAAATCTGAAGTGTTTCTGACTATGGAGATGAACGGAAACTGTAGCCAACTTACCTTTAAAGGTCCAAGATGGAAACTGCAGCAGTTCAGAACTGATTCACTTGCTTACTTTAAAGTCCTTACGCAGGCATTAGGAAGCTCTCCTAACTTAAAGAGAACCACCATACCAAGCAAGGAGCTAAGTTGTTTTCATGTATTTTGATTTGCTTTTAGGGTCTCTAACCTAAGCTGCCTAGTGTTGAAGTTTTCCCATCTGAAAATAGTCCCCATATTGGAAAACTTATCCAAGACCTGCTACTGTTGTTCTCATACCTAGAAGTGCTACATCCCTCCTCTGTTCCCCCCAAAAAAAGCTAGACATAGTGAATACATCCCAAACTGACGTAAGGAAGACAAAGACTCACCGAGGCTAACTAGGCCAACAAGAAAGATCAGGGTTGCATTGTAGGAGGGTTGATGTTGATAGAAACAAGAGTGGGGCTGTTAAGGCAAAGGCTCTTTGGCAGCATGATCTGGTACACAGGACTGCTATGGACAGCCACGGGGATCCATCAAAAAGGTAGATTTGGCAGCCCTAAGCAGGATATTGACAGAAAGGCAGCCTGTTCCAGGGAAGCAGACTAAACAGAAGGAAAGAAGATGAAAAGAGGGCAGAAGTGCAATCAAGTCTGGTTGTTGGCCAACACTGAGAAAGCTTCCATCTGAGCTGGCTGGACTTGGCCCAGGAATTCACAATCTCAGGACTTTTGCCATTTCTGCATCTAGGTTTCTATTCTGGGTAATGTATCATCATCTGAAGCACTGGCTACATTATCTTTGTCAAATCTTCTTATTAAGGTTCACATACATTACAGAAAGACCTTTTAATACCAGACAGATCTAAAATACCCGAAAAAACATTTGCAAAACCTTCTATACAATGTCAGTGCCATGATGCTTGTTTTCAAATCATTGCTTCAACACAAGGACTGAACTGTAAGCAAAGGACTAATTCCCATATCTCCTCAGATTTATCATTCATGTTGATGCTACACGCCTTTCACATACTAACCATAAACACAAGTTCACTGATGATTTTCCAACTGTAGCTTTATACTAATTCCTAACAATATCAAAGAAGGGAAAGCTAAACTGAGACATACCACATCCTTGTGAATTTGGGACTGCTTTTCCAGGAGATGAAGTTCTTCGAAACCCGCTTTTACATCCTAGCTGCACACTCGGAGACAGATCAAACTCTTCATCCCGGGGAAAATCAATGAAAGAATCTGCTAGGAATTGCTTGGAGTCCAAATGTAGCAGAAAACGACCATCCTTAATCTCTTTTATAAATGCTCCAATGAGATTTTCTCCAACAATTGCATTTTCTAAAGTGGGGAAAAATACAACAAAATAGCATGAAAAAGATTTCCAATATGGGAATGGATAACCACACAGAAACTGATGAACTTTAAATTAGAAACTTACACAGATACAGAAACACAAGCATGTTTGCAAACAGCAGACAAGAATGAATATGTGCAGTGTTTATCAGATTAAAGTCTTCATCTCAACCTATGTAGAGAGTGCTAAAGAAACAGCAAAAAAAAATCCAACAAATGATGGCACATTCAAAAACTAAAGCATCAGAGAACAAAATTTGATTTCTGAGTTGCAAAAATTCAGCATATGAAAACCAGGATTATCTGACATTCAGATTTAATTTAGTCCTGTTTTTTTCAATGGGTATCATTTTCTTCTTTTTCAGCATTTTGTTGGTTTGGTTTTGAAGGCCAGTATCTGCAATGATATAATAATCACCTTCCATCACACTACTGATATTCAGCATATCCACCCAAACAACAGACACACTCTTCACAATTGCTACATCTGGTGTTTAAAATTGGAAAACAGTTGAGTACCTTTTCTACTCTCCATATTCTTAGTTGCCCAGACAGCTTCACTTTCGATGGCTTGTGCAAGGACAACTTTCAACACTAGTTCAAGAGCGAATTCCCCATTTTGGCTAGACCAGAAGGACTACAAGAACAGTGTTCTCAGTGGATTTTGTTCGCTATCACCTTCTGTTTATCCCTGCAGGGTTTACGACATTGAATGAAATGTTGAAGTGGTTTACTGGTACAAATTTGCAAGACAAGGGTCTCCTGGAGCTACAGGTGATGGGCAGCCCAGTAACTCAGCAAATGGGAAGTTCTGCACCCTGTGTACTTTGAGTTTTGCGACTACACTACTGACCTTGGATATTGAATTTTCACAGGGAGGATGTTATATACATAAAGAGAGCATGAGGAATGTTACAGCTCACACGCTGTACAAAGATTATTATTTTGTGGCTGATGTGTCCAAGACAAATAGCTGAGGGTACCGCTGCCTTCTCACGCGGTGAGTTTCCCGACTTTGCACTGTAGGCCATGGGTGGCTCTTCAGTTCTGTGAGGAGAGAATTTCACAGCCAAGTATGAGGCTCCAGTGACGCAGCTCTGCCCTCCTGCCCATGCTGAACAGACCACAGGTGTAAGATGCTTTTTCTGAAAAGTCATCCTAGACCTTTAATACTGGAAGTGTACAGGCCCTTTCTTCCCGACTGTTGGTCCGCAGGTGATTGCCGTCATGTAGATGTTGTTTCCTCCCTCGCAGAGGAGGGACACAAGGTTTTTACACTTATGGGCTAAAGTGAACGGACCTCACATTAAAGTTGATAGTTGTGTCCTTGTATTCTCAATGCTCTGTTTCCTCCAGCTTTGAGCAACCTTCTGCTGCATTGACACATACTATAAATAACAAAATAGCACTTAGTTTTGTTCAACCCCAGGCAAAAATGATACTTAGCTCGCAAGGAACTAACTGGAGATCACTACATAACCAACAACACTTTGCAAATGTTTTTCCAGAAATTGTCTTTGATCCACCTCCTGCAAACTGCTTGAATAATCAATGTTCCCCTTATAATCTGGAGCAACTGAGAGGATGTAAACACAAACAGACTGTAAAGTCAGGAACCACATGACCACTACAGCTTCTGTCTGCATCCTGAAGGCTTTTGAATTCGTTTCTGATCAGGCAAAAACTGCTGTAAAGCACACATCTGCAAGTCCCAAAGTTAGAGGGAAGGATATGTGCAGGCAGAACTCTTTATATTTAGTGCTGGGAACACCATTGCAAAGCAGTAAAACAGGAGAAAAGGTTGCATAGAGGGCATTTGAACTTGGGATGTATCTTTTACGTATTTTATTTTGAAGGGAAACACTGACTGCATTGAAAGAAGTTCCCTACATCAACCTTAACTTGCTTGAAACCACAGCAAAGATCTGCCAGTCAGTGATCTCTGCATAACTGCTCTAGGATGTCTGAGGTAAGGGTCATTCTTTAGTGTTAAAGGTAATGTAATAAATAAAAAAAGAAGAAAAAGAAAACAAAAAACCTTGGAAGAAATCAGTTATATTTTTGGCAACGTGTGAATTGTGTTTCTCTGAGTTCAACCCAATAATGAATAATATCTTTTCCACCACTGAGGATCTGCCCAATGGAAATTAACCTCTGGGGCAGTTCAGCTCATGCCCAATAAAGTAATTTTCAATCTCAGTTAAGGAAGCTGGGAGAGGCAGACCTATGTGAAAGAAACATTCAATTATAGCACTGTGCAGTCACAGCCTGAAAAGAGAAATATATCAACACCAAAAGTTCAAAAACACAACTCCAGTGTTATAATACCTTGTTAGTGCCTTCTAAGAGCAGACACAGGGAAGCAAAACAATTAAAAGCAAAGCAGGTTTAATTCACAGAAATATCAAAGGGAAAAAAAACCTTACCAATATCATGTAAATCAGGGAGAGAAGTTGCCGGGATGTTTTCCAGCTGAGTCCTCCATGTGACATTCACCCCCAGGCGGTCCGCACTCAGGCATTCGACAAAGACAGTGGAATCATCACAGACAGAAACTGAGCCAGTATTTCCAAATGCATTTACCTCAAATTCAAAATTAAATGAAACTACAGTTAGCCAACCTGAGAACCTTCTAGTTATTGCCTTTCCCTATTCATTTGCACTGTGCTATGCTCAAAAGCAACATTTTCAAAAAGTCCTGTAAAAACAGAAGTAGGAAAAGATAGTTTCAGCAGGTCATTTACTCACTGTAAGAACAGTCAAAATGATCTCTTCCATCAAAACATATTTTTAATAAATATTGGACTGATGTGATATGACTTCTATGGCTACAATTAAGCTGATCTGCCAATGTGGGGTCAGTGAGACTAAACATCCTATTTGCCCAGTCATCCATATGAGAGTGCTGCCAATCCTGACAGATTTCATGACATGTTCTGCTCTTCCACCTCTCTCAAACAGGCTTCTACTTTGTGTCTCACTTTTTTTTTTTAATACAAAAAAATCCAAACAAACTAACAAAAAAAACCCCACCAACAACAGAGAATAAGGAATTGAAATTACCTGGAGGTGACACAAACCACGAGCCTTCAACTCATCTAAAATAAATATTTGGAATGCCTGGAGTAATCCAGAGTAGTCAGAACTACAAGTCTTCTCAGGAGGCAGTAGTAGTTGAAAGTGTGTTTGAGCTTGAACTGTCTGAAACAACTGGAGCTCTAAAAATTAAAGTAGAAAGGGCATTTAGTAGCCTCACTAATGTAGAAACTGACTTTTAAAGTTACTTGGAGAAAAGACAACACTGATTTGGCATTTTGATCTTGCATCAATAGTATCTCCCCATTTCTAAGTGAAAGCAGTAGAGCTGTCAATAGTAAATAATAAGCAGCAAGAGACATGCTTGATAAATATATATGTTGTGCATTAGGGAAAAAGCCAGGTGATACAGTTCTGTAATGATAAAGAGATATTTTACACTGGAGCACTAACTTACAGAAGGATAAGGAACAATCTGGATCATTAATGATGATTTTTTTATAAGACTTAGCAGATAGGAATTTCTAGAGAGCTGGATGAAATCTGACGTTATACCAATACTTAGAAAAGAAATAGAAAGACAGGAATTAGTAACCTGTCGATCTCCACTTCTCTTAGACACAATCATGAAAAGATTTCTATTAAAAAAGGAATTAAATGGTTAAAGCAATTAATACTAATTCAAGTGGGATTTCAGAAACCTAGCTTGTCAAACTAAATGAGAATCAAGTTTTAGGACAGAATGAATTTGATTTGATGTCAATGACATTGACGTGGACATCTACAAGGGCCTTCCAGTCTTTTGATAGCAAACCAAAATGACACAAATCACACAAATTGATGAGAAATCTGTGAGCTTATCAGTCCCAAAATGAAAATCTATTTAGTCAGTTCTTAGCCAGAAAAAAAACATGTAAATTTCTGGTCTCCACTGGAGTTACACTGATCCCAGGTTTCATGGAGGGTTTGTTATGTCAGATTCAGCTCAGTGGTCATGCCATCATGCCGCCTCCAAATGGAACTGGATCTTACCCCACCAGCCTGGACAAGTGGCAGAGCTGTCCCTCATTCACCTCTTCTACAGACCCTCGCTGCATCACATACCAGTGTCACTGCTGGAGCACAACTCCCTGGCCCTCACCCCAAAATGAGCAAGCATGGGAAAGCCTGGAGATCTTCCAAGAAGAACGGTGGGAGAGAGCAGAGGACACGAAAGCCTGCTTTTTCCCGCAAGGCACAAAGCCCTCTATCTGTTTTGTTTATCAGAGAGTGCTTAAGAGCTGACTTAACCACAATCTCTAAGCGTACACATAAAGAACAGGAAATAAGATTTTTAAGAGTGTGGGTAATTATCCATTGGAACAAATTACTAAGTGTGGTGGTGAGTTCTCCATTATCATGAAGTTTATTCAATCACCTTCTGACATGTTGGGCATTTTTTCTCTCTCCATAGAACCACATTCTATGTCAAACACAAATTACTGGGGGAGGTTCTTAGCTTGCATTAAACAGCAGCTTGTATCTGGTTGCCACACACTTCCCTCTGTTCTTACAAACAGTTTTTTAACTGCCATCAGGCAAACATGAAAGTTACTTCATAACTTGCTACAAAAACCTAGCAAACATGATTACAGACAGACAAAAGCCTCAGTCTGAAATTTAAAGTTTAAAAACATTTACGTTTGGAACAGAAGACCTTGTGTACAACTGGAAATGTGTCGATAGAGGGGTTTCCAGAATAGGTTTAACCCATTCTGGAGATGAAGAGTAGCTGCAAACTTCACATCAAGATTTGCATTTCTTAAAGTTCAGCATGGGTACAAATTGCCGTTTTGATCAGAATGTATCTCTGTTTGAAATAATTGAAAAGGTCAACATTAATATCCAATTACATGAGCTCTGAACAGACAATCAACTCTTTCAAGATTTATAGTGCCACTTTTTTCTGGAAAGAAAAATGGTTTGAAAAATACCACAAGTCAGCCAACAAAGACAACAATAATCCTAAAGAACAGACCGCTGCAAAAAGATGCAGAAGTAACAGTGACTTGATTATGCAAATAAACAGTCAAATTCTGCCAAATTCAAACATCTGGCGCTCATCTGTTCTTCCATGACTAAGTGGTTCCATTAGAATCACTTCATGGTGCCAGCATCTTTTAACTAACAAAGAAAAATCTGCATATAGATTGAATAACTATTTATAGCTATATTATTACAGAAAAGCAGGACTTTTTCTGGCATAGAAGCCAGTCAAGAGACAGAGATGAAGATGGCAGAAGACAGTACCAATCTACTGCACCTTAAATTAGCAACTCCCATGTAACTGTTGTGTCTTATTATTGTCATTCACACAGTAGCTTTGTGATGAAAGTGGATGTTTGTACATCTATTCACATTGCTCTGTGCCCTTCCCAACCCACGGCAGTTCAGACATACTCTGGCAGGCCTGGTAGAGCGGGGCAGCCGAGACCCATCGATGCTGTTGCACATCACACTGAAACGACGTGGTGGAAGAGGCACTGTGGAAGCCCTGGCGACACGCCAGCCAGCACTGCTGAATGCCTGAAGCTTGCCCAGAAATGTTTTCACAAAATACAGCTCCATTGAGAACAGATGATGCATCGAACGGCAGAGCACACTGCGGACCTTTAGGCACATGAGAAAGGGGATATATTAGCAGCCAACTATGAAGCACTTCCAGTAAAATGCCTACAAAACCCTCGTATCAACAGAGAAAACCTAGACAGCACCCTGTGCATTTCCCACTCATCTTAACTTGGATCTGTTTTGATGTCAGCATGGCTCAGTTTAGTAAAGTTGATGAAAAGACACATACTGATTGGGGAGAGTAATGCATTGGGACAAGAAAGCTACGTGCATGGTTTCTAAGAACAGCTAAGTTTAAAACAGTCACGAATAAATTTAAGCAGGAAATGAGAAGGAGGTTTCTAACCATCAGCAGAACAAACCTTTACAAAAGATATCCAGTGGAAATAGGCAGGGCCAAGAAAAAAATAATCTCAGTTCCCTTTCGAGTGTAGTTTGAAAACTTTAAGATCAGGAGCTTATGACTATGATGTCTTCAACAGCACCAGGATGTTTCTGGTGACACGGCAGGTCCTTAACAGTAGTATACAACTTTGGATTTGGAGCACAAAGTTTACCCTATCAACAAACTGCATCAATACAGTCATTTCAACCCTGCTAGCCCATTGTAACAGACTAATAGCAGGCTAACTACAACGATAATTAATTTCTACTAATCGGTACAAACCAACTGCTTCACTCAATATTAGCCAAATCCCAACCTAATTACTTAATATATCTATTAATAATTAAACACTTCTGAGTTCTAGAGTTACAAAACATAGGAAGAAAAAACAACTTCCTCATTTAGAAAATGTTCTCATTTCCTACAATTCACTTGCTTGGTGTATATATAGATCTTTTTCCAAATAGGAATGCTCAGATCAGTCCCAGCCTCCCTAGTCACTGGAGGAAGGCAAACATTGCTCATGGTTCAGGTCTAAGCAGTCTCTCTCTCCCCTTCTGACAGAGCTAGGAAGTTTAATTCCTTAACTTAGCAGCCACTTCAGTTAAAGCTTAAAACATTACAGGATGAATCTGGGATCCAGTGTGCACAGTACATCCTTATTTTCCAAACCTGAGCATTTCAATGCCAAAATAAAAGGCTTTCATATCTGTCCCTCTGAACTGCCAAATGCATTTTTTTTCCAAATCTCCTTTACAACATCTTTTCTGCAATAACTCTGAAAGTGGGGCCACTACATTCTTTCTCTTCACTCTTTGACTCTGAATCCAGTCTCTTTTTCAGTAAAGGTAGAAACCTGGCAACCTTGTTTAACAAGCTTTTAATAAACCTCCCGAGATCTCAGGACCAAAAGATACCACTGTAAGAGAGATAGTAATACTTATTCCAACCAATGTAACCTACATCCACCATTATGTGTAAATTACATCAATATCTCTTTATACAAAGTATATAAAAATCAGTCTGTGGTCTCTTTATTGCTCTAATACATTTCTATACCCAGCAAGACAAATCCAATCTCAGCTGTATGCTGCTCCAGTCTTTTACTGTCTGCTCCAAGGAGAGTTGGTGTGTCAGCTAGGGAAATAACCAGCCCCCCAAACATAAGGGATGGATGGTTTCCTGGTGTGGTTCACAGATTTCAGTTTACAATCAGTAATTTGCTTATATATCCCTCTACAGATGTCATCTCCTTTACTATCTTTATTAAGCATGCACCATTTTGTTATTCTTCTATTTCTGCCCCAATTTCTCGGCCCTGTAGGAGTGAATCAGAATCCAATTGAATATTGACACTTCTCTCATGGTGTTTCTAAAGATTTACACAGGAAAATTACTGTCTCCAGGAGCTTCTCTGGAAGGCTTTCTCTCCTCTATCTCTACTCAGAGCTGTGGAAAGTGGGCATGAGTATGGGAGATGCGTGTGAGGACTGCTAGGATACTTGGCATCATCTCTGTGGCGCATGTCAACTAGAAAAAGTTGAATTCTACCTCTGATGGAAATGATTAAGCTAATGAAAACCTCATTGCATGCACTGGACACTGTGAAGTTATTACTTGCTGTTTACAGCTGTCTGTTCTGATGTTGGAGAAGAAGTTTACCATATTTTCCCACCACAACAGCTTCTTTTGCTGATAGACAAGATCTCCAAGATAGTGAGATAGTACTCCTTTCTCTTTTTCCTGAACAATTAGTAGCAGTTCCCAGGACTAGAGGTATAAGGCTGGATAGACTGAGGGGAAAAATAACTTTTGCTTCCTTATTCTTACACAATAACTAAGTTATTTAGCATGAAAAAGTTCTGCTGATATTTGAAAATCCAGGAAAATCATTAAGGATTATTTCAATGATATTTCTACGAGGAAAACAACAAATAGCTTTCTGGAAAGCCAGGTTTCCACTATATTTTCAAAACAGCTTTCTCTCTCAGCTCAGCCTTTTAAAAAGAAAGATTATTAATCATTCAGTCACTGTTTCCTCTAGGAAAAGCACAGCATTACAGGATCCCAAGAAACATCGGATGTGTACTCAAAATGTAAAATCTTCTTAACGACATATCTCAGGGTACACCTACACCCTCCTTTGAACATATTCCATAAATCCCTTCGAATTTAGGGGGAAATCTAGAAAATGAGCTTTCATGGAGAGAAGGAGATATCAAAGACTTAACATTTACAACTAGTTCCGACTTTTCTCTGGCCTACTAGAAATGTTTCCACTTTTCCCTGTTCACCTTCAGTCTATGAGAATGTCAATCCGTACTGCCAAGTGCCGGGTATCACCCTGAGCATCCCACAGCACCCTGTCCCACAGAGATACCAGCCCATCACTTGAGAGCAGGATGGCAGCAGAACTGTACTTGTTAGACTGATCAGCTCTGCTGCTCTGAAGAGCTAGAAACCTCAACTGGACTGCTACGCTCACACGGCTACACCATCCTAGCTCTGGAGCTCATCTCTTCACAGCTCGGTTGGGCATCTCTGCACAGCACCACAATGTATGGGGCAGATACATTGAGGTCTCCTTGTGTCTTCTTATAAAATCCCATCTGCATGGCTCTCTATCAGTACAAGAGAGCTCAAAGAAAACAATGGTGGTGGTGGTTTCCAAGTTGGCTGAGTAGCTGTCTAATTGATTAAAACACTTTACAGCCGGTTGGGCTGACACAATCAGGTATTTGGTTGGTGAGCATGTGCTGCTCTTTATAGAGCAGAACCTCAAAAGGAAACTGAAGCAATTTCTTATCATGTGGTCTCGTTTTCCTAAATGTACCAACAGCTGTCTTTTAAAAAAAAAAAACAAAACACAAAAGAACTATGGAAACAGTAGTGTCCTGCAGGCACTAGTTGAAAGGTTTCTTTTTACATCTCTAGTTTCCACTAATCATTACACTTTGGAGCACAGCCTTGTAGAAAGTTTAATTTGTTTTGCTTCACTTCAGTGATGGGAAGATGTATAAAGGCCATTGCAAATTAAATTTATCCAAATGTCTCCCATTTGGACATCTCACTGGAAACCATGAGTGAATTCCAGTGCTTCACAGCTCTGGTCATGCAGAAAACACTCTGCGAATATGTAGTGTTTTGGCACATCCTTTTCACAACTCTCGTCACAAGCCAAAAGTAGGAACGGCAGAACCATACATTTTTCAAATTTTATTTTAGTCAGGTGAATGGGTTTTGATCCCAGAGCCAATTCAGACTGGAAGAGGTTCAAGTTTGCAGCAAACTGTTCAGACTGACTTTTTAGCTAAGTTTTATAGGTCAACTGCTTTGATTTAACCAATTTTGTGAATAGGAAAAGTCAAAGATCCATTCCCTTCTCCTTTCTCTCTGACGAAGCACTTGAAGAAACCTTGACATCATGCCCAGGTAGGTTTGAAATCTGCTATAACACAAGGATAAGCATACTGGTTGAGCAAAAGTCTCTATAAAGTTCTGAACAAAGAAGATTAAATACAAATAAATACTGGGAAAAGTTAGGATCTGGGTCAAGTTCCAGACCTGGATTTGACCAGCAGCAATGTGACTCAAGCAGGAACTCACTTGCACATGCAGGTCTTCCTCCGCTTACTCGTGTTCCTGGCACCTCTTCTCCATTGTCAAAGACGCACCAGCAGCTCTCCTGATCCTGGCTGCACTGCACGGGCAAGAAAGTCCTGTTGTCCCCTTCACATTGGGGGATGTAGCCTTTGCCAGCTTCTCGTAAACCAGTTTTAGACTTCAGCATATTACAGAAACTAGGACCTTTAAAGACAGAAATTCATTGCAAGATACAGAACAGAAAACAACAAACTGTCCTAAAGACTTTAGCAGCAGTGCTTCCAGCCTGCGTTCAGTTTTATTAGAAGGAAGAAAGTTAAGAGATCTTGAAACTATAAATCATTTGAATCATTATAAAACCAGGGAATTTCACTTCCACTAGAAAAAACCCACATTTTTTCTAAAGATTGAAGTGCAATTTATATGGGTTTGCATCAATAAAATAGTTGAAAAATTACAGATATTTATTTTGTATTTACATCTTTTTTTTCCATAAATTTGATAGTGTATCATTTAGATGCTGAAATTTAAAATCTTTTTTTAAATCAAATTAATCTTTTTTGTAAGAATTTTTGATCAAGGTAATTTTAAATGTAATAATATGATCATTTACCTTTTAAAATAGTAAAAATATCCCAGTTTTATACCTTTAGAACTGGAAAAAACCCCAACCATGGAATATTTATTGTCCAACAGGGCATCTCAATTCCTGAGAGCAGGGATTCTTTAACTTTTTGGATCAACCATCTCCTATGAAACTTCAACAGTTCTCTGTCTATATTTGAAGACAACAAAAAGGTATTATAGAACTAATTGCATTCCATGGAGCAGTTGTGGACCATGTAAAATTGACTCACTGACTGCACATGACCCAGTTCGCACAGTTCAGGATCCACTGCCTTAGAAAACTCATCCATGAGCCCATAGAATTTTCTATGGAAGGTAAAAAAAATGCATTGAAACCTGTTCATCAGTTTACCTAGACCAGTCTATTTCTGGTGTTATGAAAGCAAAAGATACCTATTTTCAGATACTCTTTCAACGTTGATGTGCTTATATGTACCTTATCACTGAGGAATTAAACCATAAGCCCCCTGTGTTTCACAAGGCATCATTCTGAAAAGGAAAGTACATACGCTGCAAAGCATGAGGCATTGCCGCTAGCATCACGGGCTGTGGGTAAAGCATTACTTACACTCAGGATTGCCATCCAAATCTTTCCTGCCACGCTGAAATACTTCTCCTGACACAGGATCTACACACCAAATATCTGTGTCAGATCTCTGTAGCACAGCGTATTCTCCTGTCTACAAAGAATCAATTACATGTCATTGCAAAGCAATGTATATTAATACAGATACACCACAACCCATACCCCACAGGTCAGTTAAAATATTTGATTATATTTACATTTGTCCATTAATGCAACAAGTTGAAAAGAAACACAAAATATTAAAATACAGTCTACCTAACTTAATACACAGATCAGGCCCTGAGAGAAATAGTGTGCAGACTGAAAGCCCATTGAGATGAAGTTCTGGTATAATCTTGGTTTAAAACGTCTGTTCCTTGCCCATCTCAGGGCTTTATCCTGCTCACTGCCATATTTTGAGAGCATCATGGCCTCTACTTTGGGATACCTGCATCCAACTCCCTCTCATCGTGACATTCTCTCACAGGTCAGGAAGAAAGAGCCCTCCAAATGTCAGTCAACTAAGTTGTGCCTTTTAAGCATAACCCTGCAAAAGGACCAGGCAAAACCACTCTGTAGGAGGGAAGTGTAGGCAGGGACAAAGCTTCCTATTCTCAGTCTTCATCTCAAAACTATTTAAATTCTGCCTTATGCAGGGCAATGCCCGCTGTTAGTTTTGTCTTATCCTTTTCTTTCAGGCTAACAGGAATGCACATGCGATGCTTAAGGAGCATAGACTCAAACTATATGGGTCTTGGGCATGCTGTAAGCAAAACTGTGGATATTTTGTTTCTTCCTCCCTCAGTCATGTTAAACCACCTCAAGGCAGTGGGGGATGAATAGATCAGCAGTAGAGGCATCCAGTTTTTTTTTTCTGTCTCCAGCTGGAAATTAAGGCATTAGTTCGAGATCGCTGACATGATGTCTGGCCTGTAAGAGGGAAAACATATATGCATGTTAAAATAAAATCAAGTTCTCAAATCTAAGCTAAAGGGATACAACCTCAGCTCCTTTGAATATCTCCATTTGGCTCTGCTACAGCCTCAGGCAGGGAATTCCTGACCAGTGTTTGATAACCACAGAATCACAGGATGGTTGAGGATGGAAGGGACCTCTGGAGACATCTGGTTGGACATCTGGTCCAATCTCCCTGATCAAGCAGGGCCACCAACAGTAGAGGGTCCATTCTCAAATCATGCAGGCCAAAATCACACATAGTGAAATTACATGAACTAGCAAAACAAGCACAAAATTCCTTTTTTTCTTTCTATGTTTAGAAACAAGTCTTGCTTCATGCGTATCATACCAGAATTTTCAATAAATATTAAAATTTGTAAGAACAGGTAAAGACAAACATTTAGGAAGAAAAACCAACTGACATTTGGGAAGTTCTGCTGAGCGTGAGACCAAGGAATCCATGACATAACGTCCTCTCTCATCCACACACCAGCAATGACCTGGCCAGGGAAGAAAAGCAGCTTTATTTTAGATGTTGTAATGCAGTAAGCTTTGTTGCATACTGGGAGGATTTTAATCCTCAGTAGTGCTATAGAAAGTAGTCCATAAATCTAAGTCACAGTTAATTCTGCTATCCAGAGATAAGTAGACCACACCTAAGAGCAGTGGTGAGAATGGAAATTTAGCAGCTCTAGTGAGACTCTTCCATTGCAGCCCTATCCTGCAGCATATCTTCTTCTCCCAGCAGTTTGGTATCACCCACAAACTTGCTGAGAGTGCACTCCATCTCATCGTCCTTGTCATTAATGAAGGCATTAAGCAATACTAGCCTCTGAACTGACCTCCGGGGAACACAACTAGCAGGAAAAAACTGAAAATCGACTGATTTTTGAGCCCCATGGATCTGCCACTTGAGTCCCTCACTCCAGTCAATTTTCCACCCATCCTGTAGACCACTTCACCTCTCTCCAGTTTGGCTACAAGAATACAGGTTTTCTGAATTTTTGTTAGAATTCCGCTTAGCTTTTCTTTGTTCAGACAGCCCAAAGTACGCTGCTAGCAATCACTCACCTGTGCTCTCATAGCACTGAGTTGGCTCCCAGTTTCCCAGGCCATCACATTGTGGGATGTAAGGGAGAAATCCCAGCTGCATTGCTTCCCCAGCAGAAAGTTTTGAAGTAAAGTGACTCCGCCAGTAGAAATGCAAGACTGTAAAAGGTAAGTAGAAGAAAGTTCTCAGTGGCCAGTACAAGATATTTTGAATGCACATTTTCCAACACCTGAATGTTCCCTGTACTTTAGAAGGCAAATTAACAAACGCTGCAAGTACATAAAGGCTGGTAACTGTCCAGATCTTATACATGCATCGTGTCATACACATAAAAGAACTGAAATCAGCCCTTGGGTTGGCAGGTTAATTACACTTATTAATTATACCTGCTGAGTTGCACCTGTTTTTCAAAGTTGAATTTGACATAGAGTACTCTTGCACAGATTCTGGGCATTAATCCATTTAATTAAGCTCTCATCTGTCTTTCAGCTACCTGACCATGCAGCCAGCTGGAGAGCATAGTCACTGCCTGATAACAGCTTTTCGGAGACCACCACCTCTGACTCGTAGGGCTGAGCAGAACGTAGGAGGTCATTGTCCGAGAGCTGAATTCCCTTTGCCATCAAGAAGCTCTCTCCAAAAGCGAAGTGGGAACGATTTGATGCAAGGATGAGCTGCTCTGCCTCCTCCATAAATTTCATGGCTTCCTGCTTAACAGTTTCACATATACCGGGACCTGTAGAACCAGAGGGTATATCAATGCTTTTCATCCAAATCCAGTACAGATTTGTATGTGAAAACTAGCTGGTCTTTTAATTAGCATCTTCTGTTTCCTTCTGCACTCGCTCGGTTTTGAATTGCGTAATGAAACAAGCAAACAAACAAGACTTGTCAATGCTTAGCTATATAACAGCAAGAGTCCAAGAGTACCAGGAATCACCCAAACTTTCTCCAAGTCTTGGGCCAAAGCCTTGACGATTTTAAGTTACCTCCTCTTCATTGGTTACAAAAGGAGTTAATAGGTCTCTACAGAGCTGTCCACCAGTTGCTGTCATAAAAAAGATGGATAATCAGAAGAGAGAGCGAGAAAGGAAAATGAAGGTATATCCCTTGGGTCCAGACTGGCAGCTGACAATTGGGCCGTCCTCTCCATACATCTACTGACTCAGGCATGGCAGTTCAACACATCGAACCAGCTCATTGAAAGCTTCTCCGCTAGAATAACTCTCTGCTAATCTGCTTCGTCCCCTTTATTCCCCATTTGCCTGCAGCACTGGCATCTCCAGCACCCCTTGCCCATTTGGAGGAAGTTTGCCATTCATTGTCCTGTCTCTTCCTCCCCGCTGGAAAACTACTATGTGATGAGAATGGTTTTAGTGACTTACATTTATAATATAAGTCATCTGCTGAAGTAACCCCAAAGAGGGTCTAACAGCCTTGGTGGACGTGTCTAGACAGAGGGCTTGCCAAACTTCATTGCTGGCCTCACTCTTCTCCTAGTGACTTCTAGGAGATTTCTGTTACTCTTGACTGTGCAGTAAGAAACAGTAAAGAAAATTCCTCTTGTCTCATTTTAAGGCATTCTTGAAAGTCATTTATATCACAGTGTAATCCTGAATTTTCCATACAACTCTTCACACACTGCTTCTAACTTCACAGTGTCCTTTGCCGTCTGGCTAAGTATCTTCTGCAAAAACATTGTATGTCCAAATTCCAAATTAGAAAATCTACACAAACTCAATATGGAACTTTATTCCTCCTTACTCCCAAAGCTGAGAGACCACTTATTTACCAAAAATGAGTTACCCCACCTCTGGTGGTCAGTGACAATGGTAGTAGAGACCACTTATTTACCAAAAATGAGTTATCCCACCTCTGGTGGCCAATGACAATGGCAGCATTGATGATCTTTCCGACAAGTCATTGTCTCTTACTTCACAGCAATTGAAAAGACTTTTTGATCTTTCCGACAAGTCATTGTCTCTTACCTCACAGCAATTGAAAAGACTTCACTCTTGTGGCATAAAAGCAAAAACCAGAAACACTGCTACTTATGTGCCAGAAATTCTGTGACTTACATTCTGGGACCTGGTTCACTTCTGCCTTTGTTCCTTGCAGCTCTTCTCCTTTGCTATTAACACACCAACAATCACGAAGTTCAAAGTGGCTTAATGGGGCACTGAAATCAGTATAGGGTCCTGGGTAATAGGTCAGCTGCTCATTCAGAAGCTGCCAGAATATATATGGGTCCAGTAAAATGTTCTCAGATGCATAGGTCAAGTTTCCTTCTAGCACTTCAGGTGGGAGATCAGTGAAGGAGGAATACGTGGTAAATGCTGGGAAGACATTCTGGTGCCCAGCCTCATACAAAGCTTCAACAAAAGCTGAAAAGCCTTTGGAAGATGCCTCTTTATATCCAGTTATGATGCTCAATAGATTAGCAATGGGTAGGGTTTGGCCTTCATTGTTCTCTGCAATCCACCTTTCGTACCAGTCAAAGGCTTGTTCAGGAGGGCCGCTGCACTGTACCTGCTTCCAGGCACCGTCAGTATCACACTGCGGGAGGTAAACGGTGGAGAGCTGAGACAGAGCACTTGGGTCTGACAACAGGAGTTTCACAGCCTTTAGAAACTCTTCACCAGCTGTTACTTGGCAAGCACTTGGGCCTGGGGAAAAGAAAAACATGCATAGCACGGCTTACGAATGCACTGAAGATACACAATATCCCCTACTCCCCTAGTACCATAAACACCGTTACTAAACTTGGTCACTTATCCCAATACTAACAACAACATTTTTGGCCTGTTACTAAGGGAGCTAGTGCTTTTAAGCTCCAATACTGAACCATGGTAAGATTTCCAAAGGCATCTGAGCACTGAAAGATGCATATGGATATGATTTTTAAAAATATTTGAGCACAATAGGTGCCTGTAGTTCTTACTGGGGGGATAGTTGCTTGATGCCACTAAATACCTTCCTGAATCGGTTCACACCAACTAGGTGTTTTCAGATACACTTGGTAATCCAGCAGTTACTTTTTATTCAGCCAATCCCTGCAAAAGCAATCGTCAGAATGCTAGGATAATACTGATTTTATTTCCCTTTGGACCTAACCAGAATTTTCGTATTCTGTTGTCCTCTCTTCCTATTCTCTACTGAATATTGCAGCTGAATATAAAAATACCATCCCTCAAAATGCTGGAGTGAGTTTGTTTTGGAAGCCTTTTCTGCCACCTCCAGAGTAAAATTTCCATTTGCCACCAAGCAGCCCTACAAACCTAGCAAAACATAGGACCTCTTCTCCTTTTCAGCATCAAAGAATTATGAACTTGTTTATTTTTGATTGCACTACAGAAGGGTTGCTAGACATAAATCCCCTACCAATTCAGATCATTGTGATAAATTCCCCATTACTTCTGCAAACAGCTGTTCAAAGGAGCTCCTTCACTATGTACCATTATCATCTGCTCGTTACTCTACTCTGCTACTCCTTCCAAAATGAGAAGCAGGCTCTTCTCTCGGTCTGTTCTCCCTGTTGATGTGCCATATTCAGTTCACAGAAACTTGAAAGACAAATATCCTCGGCCTATGTGCCTCCTGCTTCCGTTGTATTACATCATTAATAGAAGAGCAGGAAGAGGCAGTTCATAATCTATAAGCTAGTTGCAATGCCAAACTGATGTCTGACACGTCATTTGCAACTCACTTTTCTGGCTCAACTGCATGACTTTTATGAGAAACCTATTAGCCTTTGAATCCCTCTCCTATGTTTGAACTTCTGTGACATCCTACCAAATTGAGGATATATTCTTGAGCTAAAAGATTAAAATAGGTTCATGGTTTAAGGCACTGAAGGTCTTCATTTCCCAGGACAAGGATGAGCCAGTGACCATGCCCAGGTGACCTGGTCCTGGAAGTAAAACAGCTTTTTCACTCAGCATGGGTCACATTCAGTTACACAGATGCTCAAGGTCTCATGGGCATCATGGACATTATACACACTAGCTACACACTTAGGTAGAGACATACGCCAATGACATGCTCATTAACAAGGCAAGACGTCATGCTCCTGTTTTGAGTGTGCCTAACCTGTGCACTGAAAGAAGAGGGGACCATCTTTAAGACTTAGGATATCAATGTTTACAGACACTGTATTTCCCACTATTCCTCTGCAACTGTAGGGCTGACTTGCTTTCCTGTTAGGGGATAAAATTGTTTGTATACATCATCCACACATTTCCAGATATAATCAGATATGAAGAAAGAATCATGAAATTCCAACACAATAAGGAAACATCTTTAAATTCCCAATCCCTAGGACTTACATTGCATTGCCTTTCCAGCTTTTCCCCTTATTCCTGGAATAGTCTTGCCATTCAAATCAACGCAGAAGCAATTCGCCCCATAACACTGGAGTGGCAGAAAGTCTCCATCCTCGGTACAAGAGGGAATAAAAAGATCTGATCCCGCAGGCAGGCTTTGCTTCAAGTTTTGCAGGTTTCTCCTTTGCTTCTCACAATCAGTGGGACACCTTGGACGTTTGCCTTGAAATCTTGAGCCTGGAACTTCCTTACCTGAAGTGTCCAAACACCAGCACTCTCCTGCATAGCACTGAACTTCCTCATATCTCCCCTCCTTGGTGCATGTTGGAACAAACAGGTCCCTTGGCTCCTCACCACAGCCTTCAGATCCCAATGCTAGTTTCACCACTTCACCTAAATCTTCAGCAATGCTTTTGGGGACAGAAATCACTTGTTGAAGAAAAGTAAAGAACTCTGGTAGTTCCAGAACAGAGGAAAGGAATTTCATCATATTCTGATTGTCCTGTAGAGTTACAGTGCGGCCAAAGCTGCCTACAAGAGTTTTACTCAAAATGGAGCTCCCCTTTGATACCTCCAGTGAAAATGCCTCAGCTGATTGCAGAAGGCCTGGGCCATTATCCCTCTCTGCCATATCCTCCTGTGGGAAAAATTGGCCAATGCTGTATTTCCCATTAGTGCCAAGTGCCCCTGTGAAGTTAAACTGGATCAAATTCTTCAAGAACTTTCCTCCAAAGAGATTTTCTTGGAAACGCTTTGGATTGGCAGTGAATTGCAGTGCCACTTGAGCCAGTTCCCTTGATGGGAACATTGCCGTGATGGCTTCAGTAAGGGTGGTTTCTAGCCCAGGAATCTGGCTTTGTGCAACTGGGGATGACAATCCAGAGTCCAGAAACAGCTCCTTGAAGGAGGGAGGGCAGGGTCTTGAGAAGCCAGCTATTTTTACTGACTGCATATTTGGTGTGGAAAACAAATTGGGCTGACTGAAGTACCCAGCAGGGCCATAAAATATCCTCACCAAGGCCCGTCGTCTCTCCGAGATGCACACTTGTTCTTCACCTAGACAAAGATTTTTAAAAAAAATGCAAAGTTTGAAACCTCCAACACCTGTAACTCTACGACTACCTTTCAAGTAGTCTCAGCAGAAACCACAGCAGAAATCTGTCTCTAGTTCCTCATCACACACATTATAAGGAAATTTGAACTGTTGTAGAATCATAGAATCATAGAATCATTATGGTTGGAAGAGACCTCAAAGATCATCAAATCCAACCGTACACCCGATGTCACCATGCCCGCTAAACCCACCAAACCTTGTCTCGAAGCGCCACATCTAAATGTTTTTTGAACACCTCCAGGGATGGTGAGTCCACCACCTCCCTGGGGAGCCTGTTCCAATGCCTAACGACTCTAACAGTGAAGAAGTTCTTCCTAATATCCTATATGGTCTATAAACAAAATTCTCTAGTCAAGACACAAAATGAAAGGAAACATTTCTTCACCACGTCTGAGTTGTCTGCTCTGTGGTCTTTTTCTGGTTCTATTCTCTCCCAGTGTAAATCCTCATTCCTGTTCCTATGGGCGAAAGAATGAACAAAGTCTTTTCCAAATGTTTTGACCCCCTGGTAGGATGTCTGCTTCTAATGAAAACCTCCAATGATCCAGGCACAATATTTGAATCTAAGAAAGAGAAATAGACTGCAGAAAAAGAGGAAGTTATTTTAATCAATGCTTACTAATGAGGAATTTATAGACACTTCCTACCTAGATCTTCAGTTTCATAGTGAAGTGTTCATTACAAGAGGTTTGAAAACAAATTGTTAAAATTAGCAGTAATAGAGTGCTAAGGACCAGATGGCATTCACAAATGATTTCTAAAGGAAAAAAATACAGAATTTCAACAAAAGTAGTCAAATGTCAGGGTACCGATGGTACCAACAGCGGCCCTGGCCACCCCTATCCTGGGCCAAGCTATGTCACACGTGTATCTGCATCCAGCCTCATCTCTACGTTCATATAGACAGCAGTGGCTCCAAGTTAGGATGCAACATATCACAAGTCAGGATGCAACATATCAGTGAAGAAAGAACTCTGAAAATGTCAGCTTAAGGCTCAAAAGATATAAAAAAATGAAAGACTTGGTAGATATAAAGACACTGAGAACCAAACAGGCAGGATGGTTATGGCACTGACTGGATCTCTGGAACGCAGGCAGCAGCTTGAAACATGTGCCACACAGTTATCTTTCCTTGAAAAGTAGCAGAATTCTAGAGAAGGGATGCAAAAATATTTTGAGGACAGAACAGTTTTTCCAATAGAAGACTATTCAGCTTGGACAAAAAAATATGGTAACGGTTTTCAAAAAACAGGATTCTCCATATCACTCACAGTAGACAATTATTATTGAGTATTTCTCACAGTACAGGAATTAGAATAGTCCAGAAGTAGAGCACATAATTATGATCACAAAATTTATCGCCAGAGGATGCTAGGAAGGATAAAAGGTTAAAGGGCAATTAGGTAAATTCCTGGAAGATGACTCCATAGGGGTGTGCTGAACACGATGACCTGGGTTCAGCCTCCAGTTTGGGGCCTCTCCTGGCTGCAGTAGGATATATGGAAGCTATATGCGTTTCTCATGTTTCTCACACTTTCTCCGTAAGCACCACTGCTGTCCTTGTAGGAGACAGGAGGGTGGATAAAGGGCATTGGTCGGCTCCAGCATGGCCTCCCTTGGGCTTCCCACCCCATCCCCATTTATTCCACCTTCAGGCAGTATGAAAAAGCAGTCATAAATCCTGTTAATGGTAAGGATAAAAGCTGGAAATCTTAAAAGTTGCTAAAATAGATTAGCAAGTAATCTGAGGCTCTGTGATCAGCATCTTTCTCACTTCTCTTTTCACACCCTTGTCCTGCTCTGCAGTTCCTGGCAGAGGTTCAGGGTCCCTCACAGTGGTTCCTTTGTAAAGGCATTTTCTGGAGGATGGGTCCCTTCTGTTTTCAGTGTTGGTTCTTGGTAAGAGGGATGAAGAACATTCCTCTGGGGACCAATAAGTTAATATAAACCACAATCCCGCAAGTAGGCTAATATGAAACAAATGTAAGATCATGGTCTTTAAATGCTCTCCCCTCCTACCCACTGTTGAATCAAAGCAGAGTGAGAAGGAATAAGCAGAAAAGCATTGCTGGGGTGAATTTACTGTAAAAGGTCTGAAAAGAAGCTTGTCCCTATCAGGACTGCCTGGTGCCCCAGGCCATACGAATACCCAACGTGCTACCCACACCTACGTCTCTGCCTCCTCCAGTGTTCATGCTGCTGAGTGTGAGAGCCGAAGATATTAAAGAGAAATAAAGCAGAGCAGAACTGGAGACACGCACATGGTATGTAGCTGTCTGAACACAGACTGCAGCTATATCCTCACGAAATACCTTCTCAGGAGTTAGTCTGCAAAACCTCTGCAGAAATTTTTCCCTGCTTAAATATCCTGAGTCTGCCAATAAAAGCTGCAAGCAGTCTCAAGTTAATCCCGCCCCCTCCCCCCCCCCAAAAAAAAATCATCAGGAGGGCTCAGCAAAGCACATTCAAAGAGAAAACAACCAGCCTCAACATATGGCAAGGCCTCTTGGAGGTTCCCTTGCAATATCCTTGGTGACGAGCCTCAGAGGCACGCTAACATTTTTATTTCACAGTAAGCCTGTCTGTGCCCAGAGTACTCTGAGCGACTTGGAGTTGTGACACACAGAGCAGGTTCCTCCTCCTCTATCTGCGTGGTAAGACTGTGTCTCGTAGACAGAACAATTATCTTCCCTGAAGATGGCCCCTGCATTAAGACCCTGTGACCCAGCCCTCCAGCACAATCCTGAATATTTAGGTAGTGCGCTTCAGAGTGAAGGTTTTTAACCTTCCTCCTCCCCTTTGGCCCTTGGACATTTCTGCTGTCATTTCCATTTGGGGCACTGATTTGATGGTGTATTCTTCATGAAATTTCTCAAAGCCCAAACCCATACATTTTTTCTGAATTGTTTGGGTTTTTTTTTTCATGGCCAAAAATGCAGTGACAGAGATAGAAAAAAAACGCTTAGGATAAGAGACACCTTGGAAATTCCATAGCATTTCATCAAAGGAAGGAGGTAAAACCCAAACCCACCATCATTGGCTTCCTTATATTATCCCAGATATTCTGACTTAATGCCCCAACTCCTGGAGTCAAGAGACGGATATCACGGTTGCAAAGAAAAGCCTTGTTGTATGCAAAACTAAAAGGCTAAAGAAAGGTCATAAAGGAAAATAAAAGGAATACGATATTTAATAACTTGTTAGAATGTGGCTCTTAACCCTAAGGAGGTTTTTGGATCCCAGTTTTTGAACACCAGAATCTGTCAGTGCTGACAAGGGAACTAGTCCTTCAGGTTTCCTTCTAAAGATGCCAAGAGATGTTCTCATTTTTCCTTTTCCAAACCTCATACATACCGCAGGCCGGGGGTTGTCCTCGCCTCTTTGTGCCCAGCACCTCTTGCCCTTTGGTGTCTACACACCAGCACTGTCCCTGCTGACACTGCACTGGTGCGTAGCCCCCGTCAGCATCACAAGACGGCACGTAGGCATGCTGGTAACGCAGGGCTGTGTACCGCTCAGCCTCACACCTCGAGGGGCCTGGAAGAAAAACAGTATGTGTCAAGGCATGAAAGCTTAAAGTTTCAGAGCCATCTTTGCTTGATCTCATTGTTTGCCTATTTGGGAGGAAAAAAAAAAAGAAAAAAAAAGTTTAATTTCCTGATTGTTTTCAGTGACACTTTAAGTATCAGCCCAAAATGCGAATTCTCCATCCTCTTTTCCCCTGGAGAATTGCCCCCAGGCCTTTCTATTGTAGCTACTCATTTCTGAAAACTAAACAGAAAATAAAACCTCACCACATTTTTCAGCCATAGTCATGGGCTGGCAGAGTAGCAGCATCTCTCTCAGGAAACCATGCTGGAGGCTAGGTGAGCTCTGCTCTTAATGTAAATGCAAAGCTGGTCAACAGAGATAGATGTGCAGCTTGGGAGACTGAGATGAAGGGAAACACCAATATTTCTGAAGAGAATGAGGCATTGCTCCTGCAAAAGGATGTTCAGCTGACTGTGGAGGTTTGGTCTGGGACTACCCAATTTCTTTCTTTCCCTCTGCAGGGATCTGAAGACTCTACTCTTGTCAAACTGGCCTTAATGGCAGAGAAGCCAAAACTCCATAAAGCAAGTTTTCTGAGTTATGATGTCTCCAATACTAGACTCCACCCTTCCAACAGAAATTTTTCTTGTTTATATAAACCTGAAATCCTATAGCCTGAACATTTCTCACCTTCAAGAGCTTTTCAGCTACACTCAGCTACCAGGTTGAAGCAGCAAGAGCATCGCATCAGAGCAAACCTGTTCATCAAGGACGTCTAACAACTTTCCTAATGCGTGTGGCTTCAGGTGACGGTGTGAGATCTGGGTAAGTCACCAAAGCAGTCCCCCTCAGCAGCTGATGAACGTGGTCACATCTCCATCTTGTGGCTGTTAGACAGCTGCTGCATCCCTAGCTTCAGTCAGAGCTTACTCAACATCACGCAGTGGAAGGGGGGTAAATGCATTCTAGACTTCCCAGAATGATCAGTTTGCTCAGAAATAGAAAAACCGTGCGATCATGTGGCCAGAAGACTTACATCACTATCTGCATAATATCGCTGGTGATGCAACTCCTTAACGAGGGTCAGACAGCGATGTCAGAGGAATGTGGATGGGGGGATGAAGTATCACACCAGGGGGTTTAAACTCTCCCCAGCCAAGGCAATTCTCTTGGCCTCTGGTGTAGGAGAGAGAATGAGGTATCCCACCTCCTGTACCGCAGAGTTCACTGCCTGTAGGCAGAGAAACTCTCTGCCCATTTGCCTGCCCTGACTGGGGAGGGAATGGACCCAAGGGCAGATCCAGAAGTTCAGCCTTGCTGGCTAAGGCACTACAAACTCTTGTGGAGCCTCCTGAGGGTCAAATGTATTGTGGTCAATGTAAGATCCTTCCTATTTCTGAGTGTATCGACATAAATTAGGGAGTATTTTCTCAGGCTCTTAATTTAATAAATCATCAGATCTGTCTCCATCTCCATAATCTCAGAGCAAGAGATACAGAGAGTTCGTGGGATTTCAACTAATGTGAACTTCGAGTGCATGGGAAAGTGTCAATCAGAGGCCAGGTACAGTCTGCCGGTAAGAATGTACAATCCAGAGGTTAAAAGCCAGCTGCAATTCAGGAACCTTGATTCTTGCACTGTGATATTATATGCTTCTAGTGCAAGAGACTCCTAGAACAACTCTTCCCAATGGCAGTTGTCACATATGAGCTCCAAAATTGTCACCTTATTTACAGGGCATCACCTGGGTGCTACTTACATCTGAACTTGCCAGAAGTAGCTAGCTGAACCCCCAGAAATCGCCTCTGCAGGATCCGATATATGCTGGTCTCTGTGAACATGCGGGCAGGCTCCAGCACAGAGAAAACTGTGTCGTAAACTTCATCAAGCAGCAGTTCCAAGCCTGGGAAAGAGAGACTTTTAGCACAGAGCCTGGTTTTAAGACAGAAGTCACTTGCTTTATACCAGAGTAGCAGAACTGGAAGCCTATCAGGAACAAGAACACCAGTCAGGTGTTCACAGGCCAAATGTGAACTTATACTGCATAACCTTACTGCAGTGTACCTTATAACCCACTGCTGAGTGCCCAGTCACTAGCTTCATGCCTTGACATCTACCAAAACAAGCAGGAGGAACATCCCGTAACTGGCAGTGTGCTGTGGTTTTGTCAGGTTCAGTCTGCAGTAGAGTAACTGATGGAATTTTGGAAACTGATGTTACCAAAAAACAATTCCTAATCATTTTGGTTGTACACAAAAAAACCCCAAAACCGACCTGCAGTAGTTTCCCTGAGTGCACAAATTTTTTGAGAACTTTTCACCCTTATGGGAATTAAGTGTAGAAGTTCTCATCTACCATCTAAATTTTAAGCTATCGTGCTTTGCATTTTTCCTGATTTTGTTTGTTTTTGTTTTTTTTTAAATTTTAAAACCATAGTATCTAAGGAAGAGGAGTTGGAAGTCCTCAACCTCCGCATTCCTCCTTCTTGAAAAAAACATTCTTTCTTTCTTCTGAAGAGTCCCATCAACTATTCACATGGCTAAAAGGTATCCTAAGGCTATGAGAGAAAAAGAAGGACCATCTGATGTCCCTGCCCATGGCAGGAGGGTTGGACTAGATGATCTTTAAAGGTCCCTTCCAATTCAAACCATTCTACGATTCTACATGAGCAAGAAGAAAATAGTTCAGTCTCCAGGCCCTTTATATTCCCTTACATTTGCAAGTTGGACTTATCGAATATGATGCAGCTTTCTAGTGTGGGCAGAGGTTGGACATTTAGAAATCCTGTTCCACCCTCCCAAAAATGACAGGATTAGCTCCTGGGCACCAACTCCACTTGCTACTGACTGAAGTGCTGCTCCTACGGGTGGGATTTCATTAGTGAGCTCCAGTCTTTCCCATGGGCACTACACTGGTCACGGTGGTCTTACTCTTTGTAAGAATGAAATTGAAGTCTCAAATGAATCTGAAGACTGGTATTTGTTATTTGTCCTTCCCGTGGGAATTCAAAGCCACTGAAGCTAAAGAACCAGATGCTGGAGGGTACTTACCAGTGTCTGCTAGCTCTCTCCCCAGGCTGTCTGCACAGTAGCAGTACCCAGAGACCTCCGGGAACATCTGCCGCAAGGAGCTGAACGTTTGGAAAGCCCTTGGGAGCCTGGAAGGAAAAACAGCCTCTTGTGAAGAGCCTGGGGAGGCCCATCGACAACAACAAAACATCATCTGTGTTTCCCTCCCGCATTCGTACAGCAAGGATGTCTGCAGAGCACAAAGCCATTGCAAAACCTTTTGGTCTCCTTGTGGCAACCAGGCTCTGACATGATCCAGATCAGTGTTTCAGCAGGCTAACAAGTCTCCCAAATGCCATTTTTTTAAACAAACACAGGACAATTTCCCCTCAGACAGATTTCTGACCCTTCCTAAACAGGTACCCAGCATCTAACATTTTCAATTCTATTCTCATCTTTGAAAGCCTGTCAAAGAGTGTAAAATGGACGTTGGCTTAATGTTATTACAACACTTGTTCATTAGCTCCTTCCACAAATCTGCACAGGTTGGCAGAGTGCCTAAACAAACAGGTTGCTTCCTCTTCCCTACATGCTATGTACGCTTTTTGCACTGAATTAAGCACAAAAGCTGATAAAAATCTCACTAATCTTTTTCATTTTCAGAGCACGGCTTAACAGATTAAGGAGAAAGGGTTTTTAAAATATTACAAGTAAGATTGACTCTTACTTCTGGAGATCAAAGAAATGCTAATTTCCAGTATAATATTCTAGGACTGACAATAGCCAGATTCCAGCAAAGCAATGATTTTAGGAAGGTAACTTAAGAGGGTCAGAGCTGGAAAAAACATAATAAATGTGATCTTAGCTGACAGACACTCTAGGGTTTCTCCAACAGAAAGATAAGGTTTTTTCCAAACAGAAGATAAGTTCTTCTAGATTCAAAATGCCAAGTTCTAAACCAATCATATTATTTTACAGATACATACCCTTACCATGAAATACAATAAAGGTCTGGAGTCCCAACTGCATGTGGTTCATTTGGGCAAATCTAGCAACAGGGAAGTGGAATTTTCTGCTCAAGACATTCCAAGAATTACACAAATTAGGTTTTTACCAAGGAAGGACACTTAGCAGTAAGAGTAATGGCAGATTAGGCCCTGATCAACTGGGAAAAAGGTTAACAGGCCAAATCAGTTTACAGTGACCCTGTGAAACTGGGACTATGAGCAGGCCCAATTCCAGTGCCACCCTCCTGCAGTGAAATGCTTGTTGGGCTGAGACCCAGTGGTCAGGCGAGAGGAACGGAGTGAGGGGCTTTTCCTACCTTCAAGAGTCTGCCTGAGAGCTCTGCCACCTCTTGCCAGGAGAGCTGAAGATGTTACTGCTTCCTCAGCACATAAAAGCGCAAGCTGGGGAATGCACGAAGCAACAGCAACCCCTGGCAGAGGAAAGGGCTGGTAACCTTGTGTTGTCCCAGCATCATCCAGCAGTGCTCCTGTCCCAGAGCTTGCACATCCCTGCGCAGCACTGCTTTGCTCTGGCACTCTTCCACATCTTCAAATTAAAACCCTACTGGCTCCCTCCACTTTTGTTCATCAAATCCTGCTCCACCGCTGACACTGGCATGCTAAAAGCAATCAGAAGGTCATACTTCAAGGCACAAAGGGACTTCTGTCAGCATTAAAACAATGCAATTTAAGATCTAAACACCTAAATACCATCTTTCTATGGCCTTCTGCGTACATATGGACATAAATAGCTTGGGGTATTTCAATAGCCTTCTGCTCTCCTGAATTACCATGCACTGGCCACTGCCAAATCAGGAATATGATCTTTTCCCTTCTTAGGAGAGCAATGCTCCTATATTCAAAGACAGACCTCTGCACTGCCTATGTCCTTGGAGCTCATCGCCTCAGCATGTCAACATTTAGCTGAGTGAAACAGGATGCAATGAAAAAATTCTGCATGCCGCTGTCTTTCATATTCAACGTTAAGAAATCACATGTGTAATCATAATATTTTTATATGGGGCTGATGTGTAGTCATATCCTGTCATTCTGGTTATTTTTGTTCAAAGTTGAGAGTACAACTAAATAAAGCACAAATGGATATAAATTAGGCCCACAAAAACAAGAGGATAGAACTTTTCTCACCTTACTTGGAAAACTCATTTCCTACAGCTTTTTTTCTTTTCTCAACCTCTTTTCAATCACAGCCTTTGAGATGAGTAGCGATAACATAGAATACCTCATCTATCAGACCCAGTCCAAAACAATGGCTGAAGCAAAGATGACGACTTTTAAGTTATGGGTAAATTTACAGTGTATCCATGAGTTTCAACAAGAATGCTTGCACTTAAAAATATGGGTAAGTAAATAAACGTGAGGTTGTTGACCTTTTCTTCAAACTGTGACTCTCTGCTCTTGGCTTCCAGCAAAGACAACTCACTACTGATTTTCAAAAGCAAGTTTGCAAGTAACCCCTTCTATGTTTCACGTGTGCAGCTCAAGTTATAGTTGCCTTTCTCATTGACTATTCAGAAACAGAGGGAGAAAAACAAATTGTGGTTTTTTCTACTGTCAATGAAACAATACATAACAGGGCAGAACCTCCAGTGCGCTGGGATAAAGACACTGACACAAGGTCTTCAGTCTGATGAAAATTATAGCAAAAAAGTAAAAAGATCCTACTTGACTTTTGACTTTTTGATCATTTCCATCAATCTGTTACAGGAATTTCTACATGGCTGCCCATCCAAGTAGGACCCAGGCATAGCCTGTATAAAATAAGCCAAGCTGCCAGTGTGAAGTAGGAAATTTGGGCTCATCTTTCTTTCAAAAGTCTTCCTCTCGGTAAAGTCTTAGCTCTAAGCTTCTGAACTTCTCCATTTATTTTTTTTAACATACAGATTTATTCTGGAATATTTATGAAGGTGTAGGGATTTTAATAATTTGGGAAGGGAGTTAGTGTGACATGTCTAGATTTCAAAAATCAGTCTGTGGAACCAAAGAAAGTTCCTTCACTGGTTCCACATGAACACAAATTATGGGTTTAAATCCCTGTTCTGCTATAGTCCTTTGCTGTGGAACTCATCCCTTCAACTCTGTATTCTGCGCTCCTGTTTATGGGATGGGATAATGATATTTCAGGCAGGAATAGTATGAAAATAAATATAGTAATGACCTGAGATACTCAGATATGATGGTAATGGGTTAAGTAAATGCCATCATTAGAAAGGCAGACAGCTGGGAGTGAAATGATCCCGCTGTGATTGATTACATGACACGGACACAAGAAAAGCCCAATCTCACAGGTCTTTGCAGACAAATCTCCCAATGGGAGAAAAAAAATGTTAATTTAAAGCATTGCTTTCACCTCTGTAATTGCTCTTTTAGAATTTCCACACTCCACAAGCCAACAAACAAAGCAGCCAGATTATTTTGCTTTTACCAAAACAGCCTCTCCTGAAGCTCTGACAAATTTGCACTGTGCATTTGGGCCTGCCTTTCAGTTTTGCTTAAATTAAAAAAGAAAACTCTCAAAACAGCAACATTGACATTTACAATAAAATGTCTTTGCTACTACATTGTCAAGTCAGAATGAGACACTACATTTACTCCACTGCCCTCCACCGGCAAAATGTGTTGACTGAGATGCCAAGGTAACAGTATTTCATGAGAGATCGAAAGGTTTCTCTAGAGAGTCTGAACATCTGCACCAAAATAAAGTCCTCTCCCTGCGGTTCACTTTGCCCATCCCTTATTTCTCTACCTGAGCATTAATTCCCAGCTCCTCCACAGGACAACAGCTTCTTGCTCTCATGGACGAGGATTGGATCCAGCGTTTTGAAGTCTCCCCCAGCCCTCTCCATCCACCCAAAGCTAGTTTCACGTCAGCACGCCCATTCATCATTTGCTGGTTCACCTGTGTGAGCAACCTGGGCACTGTCTATATGGATGAGAGTTTCCCATTGTGACGTGGAACTTGCTCTTTGCGTGTTGCCACTTGTCCGTCTGTCCATCTCTTTTCATCTCCTATATTGAATCATCTTTCCTACCTCATATAATCTGAATTCCTCCGTTCCTTGTGCATTTGTCTCATTTGCTGCTGGGTGTCTGCCTGAAAAGTAGTCCTGGATACTTTTTCAAATACAGATTGCAATGTGTGAGGGCACACAGATTAGACTGCAGGGATTGAATATCAATTTTTTCTAAATGAGCAAATTAAAGTCATAAAAAAAGTGTTTTTACTTGGTCCATTCTTTAATAGAAAATAACATCAACTGTGGTCCCAGAAGAAGGGTTTCATGTGGGGAAAAAAAAGCAGTAAGACAGTGACTTGAAGAGGTATGCTGGATTGTTTTTCTATTTCAGAAGCATGTGCTTTTACCTGTTATAACTATGAACGAGATCAAGAAACATCATGTCCGTTGTGTTGACAAACTTGCACTGGACAGGCAGAAACTCTCCATCTGCTGAGCACTGTGGTGGGCTCTTCTCCCCAAACCCATGCAGAATACGACGGTCTCGGATCTCACAGTTCCCTGGACCTGATGGGAAACAAAGGTAACTTTTGTTGGTGTTTTAACTTCTCACAAACAGCTGAATAGCCACTCTATGGTTTAGAAGGGGTTTAGATTTATTACATTGAACATGGACACCTAGGTGCCTCATATTGTCTTTATGAGGAGCAGGGAATTAGACTCGATGACCCTTATGGGTCCCTTCCAACTTCAGATATTCTACAAAACAAGGACTTAAATACATCAATTAAGCACCTATACTTCCATAGGATAAGCACGGTTTGCAATGTCCAAGCTCCTGATCTACCACCTTTCATTCACACCAAACTTTTCAAACCTACAAAACCCACCAATTTTATTGAATATTACTTACACCGTGTTGGCTTTCCTCTCTGCCTGGTGCCATAAATCTCCATTCCTTCCGGATCTACACACCAGCACTGACCCAGCTCTGTGTCACACTGCACTTCATCAAAAGCCCCTGAATCCAGGCACTGAGGGATGTAGGAGGTACTACTGCTGTTGATGTATTGACTCACCAAGATCCTCTGCTTTTGCAGTTGGCAAAAGGATAAGCCTGTAGTACCAGAGAGGGGCACTGTTAGTGGAAGGTACTTGTTGGGCACTAAATCATTTCTTAAGACAACATCTGAGTTTTCTCAGAGTTGCAAGTTCTGATTGTGCCACCCAGGACATTGATGGACTTGAGGTTATGTCAACTGGTATAGAGAAACCCACCAGAGATGGGGTTGAAACTCTCCAACTCAAAAGCCAATACACTAAGTCGATCTTTCATTCATGTTTTACACTACTGTGACCAAAAACATAGACCATTCAGGTGTATCAGGTTTCCACGATCCACGATCAGCCCTGAAGAAACTGCAGAACTTCCACTAGAAAGACCCAGCAAATTACAACAAACTAGAGTCCATCAAAGTCTGGGGCTAACCTATTCTTGATTGCAGCATTCAAATGCAGATTTAAATGGTTCTTTACCAAATCCAAACAAAAATAGAAACTTGTGTCTTACAAGATATGGGATATCCATTCTGTTTGCTGCCAGGTACCTCAATGCCATTCTCATCCACACACCAACAGGAAAGACCATTCCTACTGCACTGTACTGTCCTGAAGTAGATCACAAATAATATATTGTATTTTGTTAGTGACAGTCTCCTCAGTCAGTACAGGACATGAACAAAAACATAAAGCAAGCCAAACAAATACAAGCACTTTAGCACCACACACCAACAGGAAAGACCATTCCTACTGCACTGTACTGTCCTGAAGTAGATCACAAATAATATATTGTATTTTGTTAGTGACAGTCTCCTCAGTCAGTACAGGACATGAACAAAAACATAAAGCAAGCCAAACAAATACAAGCACTTTAGCACCACAAATAATGGAATCAGAAAGGGCTGTGTTTCCGGCCACTCTAACTCTACCTAATGAGAGCTCTTCTAGTAATTCTCAGAAGTCTTCAGCAATTGCAGATAAGTGACTTGAAGTCATTCAGGAAGCAAGCAGGTTGGACAGAATCCTGATTCTCAGTATTTGAGATTTACCATACATTTTGAGACATTTTCTAAGTCAAATCTAGAATGGTCAAGGTTACCCACCCTAGGCAACAACAATAAGATAATAGTAGAGAACATTACAATCTGTACTCTGCCTCAGCCTCAGCTTTACCTCATTAACTTTTTGCATCTTCAAGAAACTTGCTGCTCTCTAAATTGCTATTCTCCATGTGCTTTTTAGTTCCTTTACTACCTTTAGAATGAAACCCAACTGTGCCACTTACAGCAGGGTGGATGATAACTTCTCCAAGTCAACTTGGCTTAGCTGTGCCAGCTGGCATGCTGATCACAGACCGTGTGCCCATGAGCATACATAGGAAGATGGCAGTTGCATTACACAACAACCTGCACCAAGTATTTAATGTGCAAATAATGCCACCAAGATTAGCCCAGTAATCTTAGATTGACCACTCTACCCAAAGATTATTTTCAGCAACAGAGAATTCATTCAGGAGAGGTTGGATCTGCAACATGGCTCAATGAAGTCACGTCAAGTCTCCTGCACCCCTCACCCTCCAGTCCACCGATACAGAGGCTCTTCAAAACAAAGGTTAAAGCTTTCATTAGTAATGAAAGGTCATGTCGTATAACAGCAGAATAATAGCAGGGATGAATTACCTGAACTGGCCATCTTCTGAGCACTGAGGAACGTAGGTTTCTCCTCCTGAAAAAGCCTTTTCCCTCTGAAGTTCGCATGGACGTAATGGTTGGGAATCTGTCTGATACTCTGAAAGCAGCGAGAAGGTAAACAAGTAAGGGTGGTTTCACCACAAGCCTGTTCTTATCAAAACCCTGTCAGTGTCAACGCTGCATTTCACCACAAGCCTGTTCTTATCAAAACCGTGTCAGTGTCAACACTGCGTGGTAACAGCCCCAGGTTCATGGGTCCTCCCTGGTTGTTTCCCCATTGCTCCTTGCATGCATTTCTGCATGGGACAGCACAAGGAGGTACTGAACAAACTCGCGGGTCTGCCAGCTGCAGGATAAGAACATGATGGAGATGCTCATGAATCCCTTTCCCAAGCCTGTATTTAATTAGTCTCAGGTCTGTTCTGTACTGGTATGGCTATCATTTCCTGGTACCTGGGGTACCTTACTTAGAGTTCGTTGTGCCTATCACCACAAAACAGTCCTTTGCCACAACCACACACATCACTATTAATGTTTCTGAGTATTTATTCTTTATTGAAGCTAAGTCACTCACTACTACATCAAAAGGAGACGCATTTCTTTATCTCATGAAAGACCTAAAAAGAATCAATGTCTAGCAGTTAGCATCAGACTAATTCATATTAGGAGCACTTCCCAATTTTTACTGGGGTAAGTGATGAACTACCAAAGCCACCTAGCAAGAAAACAGTCAACTCTTCAGTTCTTAATGCATTCAAAACCACATTTGGATGCTGTTTTAGAAGAATGATAAAATTCAGTAAATTCCTTTTTACAGAACAGATTCGTTGATCTGATATTTTCCCCATCCTCAAAATCTGATGAATATCATGATCTTAATTCCATTGATTAGTTCTATAAAAACACAGCAAACAAACAAAACCATAGCTACAGCGATTCATACCAAAGGTTCACTTAATCCAATATTTGGTCTGAGCATGACCACACATAGTAGTGTAAACACATCATAAGTATCCTGAATACTTTTCAGCCTCCAATAATTTGCTACTCAGAGACTTTAACCACAGATGGTTCCAGTGCACCTAAGACCTCTCAATCACTTCTGTTTCTGTAAGCTTTCACTGTGTCCTCTTAAGCCCAAGTGAAAATTTGCACAAGACTGTAAGGGGATTTTAGGATAGCTCATCCAAAATCCAGGTGTACTGAACTTAGACAACCCTGATCATTTAAAGATCCTTACAGCCTAGTATTTAACCTGGAGCCCAAACTCAGTTTGCACAGCACACAATAACTAGCTAAGTTTGCCGTATGCAAGATTCAAGATCATTATATACTTCGTTGGAATAATACAGAGAGTAGCACAAAGATCACAGGAACACAGTCACTACTGGATGCAAGCAAAGGAAAAGAATAAGTGTACTTACCAAATATACTGGCTGCTGCTATGCTAATAAAGCAGTAAAGGAAGGTGCAAAATGGGATGGAGCCCATCTTGCGACGGGAGAGCTCCATCCCCTTTTGTCAGTGAGGCAGCCCTGCACACCCCACATAGCCTTCACCCGGCTTTTTATAACAACCATCGTGCGGATGGGTTCACTTATGTGCTGGTAGACTGGCCACAAAATTGGGCGAGTGACGCATACAGTCCTTCTGAGAAAATCACAAGAGGGCTGTTCACCTGGAACGGCCCTCGTGGTTCTCCTGCTCCATCCCCTTTTGTCAGTGAGGCAGCCCTGCACACCCCACATAGCCTTCACCCGGCTTTTTATAACAACCATCGTGCGGATGGGTTCACTTATGTGCTGGTAGACTGGCCACAAAATTGGGCGAGTGACGCATACGGTCCTTCTGAGAAAATCACAAGAGGTTCTCCTCAGCCAGTTCTCATCCCCGCTCCAGGGAGCACTACTGAGCCCGCTCATCGCAGAGGAGAACAAGCAGTACTGGGCACAGGGGGTGGCAGGGGAGAACTTCATTAAATCACCATGCAAATTGAGCATTTTGACATGACCCCAGCCAGAGCTCTGGCTCTCACCTGCACTGTGGTGCAGATCTGTATTAGCAGTACACTTTTTTATGTTTCTAGAGAGCTTAGCCTGCTGGGGGGACAGGCAAGAGTTAGGCTTCCAAGTGCTGCAGCACTAGGAATAAATACAATTCATAATGTGGTTATTTACTAAGTGAAAAACAGGATGGATGCAGCTCCACTGACTATGAAGCGAACTGAGGGTCCGAATAAATTCCATTCAACCTTTTGCTTTTACTGGCACTTGCACCATGCACGTTAATACATCCAAGTATCTGACAGGAAGCAGCTTAATTTCTTGGGCTTCATCCTCCAGGTCTAAGATCAGTATAACCATTAAGCATGTTAAGTCAAGCCTTTGGTACTAATTACATGCAAGATCCTCAACCTAAAACATATCAGAAATATTTCCTTGATTCCAGAGTATCACTTCTTACTTGTCCACCTCTTATGATGTCAGTTAGCATTTACTTGTATCAGGAATTGTGAGAACTCACCCTTACTTGTGCAAAGGTGGTAGGACAAATGGGCCCAGAATAATTAGCTATATAGTAACAGAGGCACATGTTTGAGGCTGCACTTAGGCTAATTTCAAGAAAAAGGGACAGCAACACTCTTGTTTGTGTTTCACGGGTACTAGACAGTCTAGAAACAAGTCTACTGATACTCTCTTACAGACCAAAATCGTGCTAAGTGATTCAAGCATCCTTCTGTGCGGGCTGTAGACCTCTGCAGTGCTATAGTGTTTGATATATATGGTAAATGTGATCTCAAACAGTGGCACGAGCTTGCCTTAGCATGACTAGCCTTTTTAAAAGGAGTGGGACTATATTTGGGTTTTACTTTCAAGAAACCTTCTCTGGACTTGAGGAAAGTCAATAGTCCGCAGAAAGATCAAGCTGGGAAAAGATGAAGAACATGTCCAGCATAGATGACAGACCAAAAAAGGCAATCTTCAGAGGTATAAAGAAGAAAAATCCTGCAACAGCCATGATTAAGCAGGCACAGAAAGAAAATTAATTTCTGCATTAGCATAGCATTTGTACGGAAACGTAGATGCAGAGCAAAGGAATCTGACTAAACAGAAAATAGTCAGCATTAGCACTAGGGTGGTTGAAACAGAAAAGATGAAAAGTTTGACCATGACATATATTTCTGACTCAAGTGTGCTTCAAGAGCCTCAGGTTTGTGTCTGACCCCCAGTGCAGTGGGGCAGTTACAGGAGAGCAACAAGAGACAGCCAAGCCCAACGTCATGGGCTCTCCAGGGGCAGCAGGGTCGGTGCTTACAGGTACAACGATGTTCCCAAGGCACTGAAACACATATCCAGGGTGTGCTTGGGGGTGTGATATTGATTTAGTCCAATTTTCTAAAGTTAGTAAAAAAAGTGTCATTCGGGTTCCTTGCACAGCAAAAGGGGAGAGAAGCAAGCTCATTTAGGTAGCTGTTCACTTTCCTCTATTCTTTGCTACCAAAGGGCATCAGTAGTTGATAACAGAGTAAGGCAGACAGGAAACCAAGGAGGTATCAAAGGCCTATTGCTAACAGAAAGAAGCACGTATCTGCAATACCTGCATGGTGTTGACTCCCAAGATTACTTTTATTTCCTTCAGAAACCCTTGGAAAACAACCTCTCAACTGTGCAATTTGGGAAGAACAGCCAAGTCTTAAAAGTCTCTTAAAAAACAAAGTGAGAAAGTGAGTTTTGGCAATTGGCATCACTTAAACCACTTCTAGATGTGTGTCACACCAAGATGGGCTTCTCAGTACATGTAAGTTCAATGGGATGCAATAGCCCATGGATTAAAAAGAAAGAAAAAGAAAAAATAGTAGTTTACAGAGCAATATGCGCAATCCACATTCATCAGAGAAAAAAAGGCACTTGTCTATAGCTGGGCAAATTCAAATTACGGAAAGCCTCACTGCATAACCTTCAGTGAAGGGACAATTGAATTGACCTCTATTTTTAGCACCTGAGAAAAGGTGGAAGAGTATCTTAAATTAGCTCACCAATGAAGGGGAGAAAAGCAGCAAGCAGAGAAGGTCCCTGTGACCAATATGGCCTTAAAACTAACATGTCATCAAAATCATTGCTCTGGTGCTGGAAATGAGGGTTTCGTTTACTGTACACACTGGCAAAAAGCTACTCAATCTAGACTATAATTGTTGGGGGAAAGAAAAATGTCAGTGTGACGAAACATTGAAATCACAAACATCAAGGGAGAAGCACACCGTTTATTCATTGTTCCAGTTTTGCATACACTTTCCTAGCAGAAAAGACTGTGCAACTGCAATTTTTACATATCGAAAAGCCCAAGGGTAAATGATTCCTGTACATGAATACATAAACACCTATACCCACAGAAGAGTTGCTTTCACCCAAATAAAACTTGAGCCTAAGAAGTCAACCTTCGTTTAAGAAAAGAACTTCAGGGAGACTCCTGAATGAGGCAGTAAATTGGAAGCAAAACCTTTAAGAACTGAAAACATCATCATCCTATGCCTCTATCAATTAATTAATTTATTTTTAAATAACAAAATGCTTTGCTGTGCTAAACAGATCACTAATATTGGACAGTCCTCTCATAGATTTAAATTATGTAAAAACATAGACTAATACCATTTGTTAGTAACTTATTACACTTACAGATAGAGGAGAACTATGTTTTACATTTGGTACATTTCTTCCCAAGCATGAGACATTCGTCTCAATAATCTTCACATGATTTTGGCACAGATAGCAATAACAGGAACTTGTGAAGCACTTAGCATCTCTATCATCCCTGATTAAGTTTTAAAAAGTCCTCACATGATGCAAAATTAAAAGATGACAAGGAAAAAAGCATAGCCCCACCAGATAACACAAGTTTCAGTCACTTCATACATGACATGTTCTTCAGATTGAAAGAATGATGGGGAAGTTCCAGTAACTTCTATACTAAACTTGGCTAGATCAGAAAACTGGGCAGAGGACTTCTCAGTTTTTTGTATTATCATTTACCAGCTGGCAAAGTGCCTTTGGTGACAAAAAAACCTAAAGCCCATGTAAGAACATTTGCATTTCCCTTTGTCCCTGCAGAAATGAACCATTGCTGGGACAGATAAAATGGCTTTTTTTCTTACTTATCCATTGGAGATAACACAGTTTTCCTCTATCTAGTAGTACCACAGTGATGCAAGGTAGAAAAATATTTATTTTATTCTCATGACATCTGAGATGCAGTTTGGTCTGAAATTCCAAGCAAAGTCAGTTCTGCAACCCACAGTGGCCCGAAGGATAGATTTGCACACTGAAACTATTCAATGTTTGACAAAAGCAAGCTAATGCCGTGAGAAAAGACACCAGCAGTCACACAAGGACAACAACAGGGTGCCAAACTTCTGGTGTTGGTAGGACAAAACCACTTTTGGTCTTTCGATAATGCAATACTTTACCTTCTCTGAACTGAAGGCAACACTGTACAGCCAATGGAGTCAGAAAACAAGTTCAAGGACAAAGACAACTGTCACACAACAAGCTGTGGAGTTCAGTATGTCACCTGATGTTGTGGAGAGAAACGAATGAGAGAAAGATGGATTAAACTCACGGAGCACAGATCAGTCAGCGTTTGATAAAACTAATGGTCTTCATAAAGATTTTGGTAAAGGAAACCTCAGTCTACCAGAAGTGAAAGATACATTAAGGGAAAGATCAATTTGTACAGACCTTTTATAGTTGGTATCTTTCTACAGCTGCTGACATTGTATTTCTACTGAAGATAAGACACCGGGCTAGCTAGATGTTTGGTCTGACTCAGGAAAACTCTTCTTTAGTAAGTCTGCTACTTAGAAAAAGTGTTTCAGTGTATTACTCCAAGATATTAATTTGGCCTTGTATCTTAAATTTGAGAGACTGCTTTGAGACTATCCCTTCAATAATGATTAAAATATCTGTTTCAGAATTAAAATTTTGAAATTTATTACATGTTTATGACCATATCTATTTTTGTTGTGAACAACAGAACAATTTCTGTGTATTAGTAACTCATTGAGATTTTGTCCAATTTCATTCATCTCCTGCTTATCATTTATGCCTTGGTCCACAGGATGTCTAGGGGAAGAACTTTCTTGGCATTGTTTCTTTATTTGTTTTCTACTACAGTAGAGTCCTGAACAACAGTTTGTAGGCAATATTAAAACATAGCACTAAAAGCAAATTGAAGTTATTTTGTAATGACTTTGTACAAAGGCACAAAACTAGAAACACCCTTAGAAGGCAGACATCTGCCCCCAACAAGAGATGCCACCACTGTGAACACGCTGTTGAAAGACACTGTCTTTTAAGAACTGAGTACATTGCAAAACTCAACCCTGAAACTGTTAAACAGCAAAGCACTTCAGGAACAGAAATATCTTCTAATTACTTTGCCACACAGTAAGTAATTCAGTACTGTAAATAATTTACTGACTGCAACATTTGCCTACA